AAGTCAGCGTCGCCTTTTTTCTTTATTTATCAACGCGTCTCTTAACCGCCGTGAACGACATAAGTCGTTGCGAAAGGATAAAAGACAACGAATAAAAACTTCACGCCGTCTCGTGTTGTTTTTCATTTTCACTAATCCCGGTCGTGTATTTATAGGAAATGCTGTTTTCTCCGGCGAAGGTAAATCCGCAGATTAATGCATCAGGGTGCTATTGTTGCACGGGTAAATACAAAAGAAATATGAGACACAGCAATTCCGGCAACAAAAATTTATCGAACCGGTGTAACTTCTGGTAGGATCTGTTTTTCACTTTCCTTCCAACCAACGAACTGAATGATCCTGGAGTGAACAGAGTCCAGCTTTGAAACTGTCGCCAGATTTAATAATCCCCTCGGTAGACTCAATAAGAACCGTGTGGTCAAGAATAGGTTACTTCGTCACGCAATACAGTGCTATTCAAAAAGAAAAGGGCTCTGCACGATCGACAATAACAGAATGAAATTATTAGTAGCAACTTGTCAGTAGCATTCTTACTCAATGTACTGGAGATCGGATAAAGCCATAGGACAAAGACAATGAACCTGCGCATACATAACAGCAACGAGACTGTTGTGCAAATCTGCCTTAATAACACTACGTGCGAGTTTTCGCGTGTTTCTACGCGGCTGACGCGCAAATAACGACGCGACCGAAGCTCCTACGACACAGCCACGATCACGCAATCTTTTTCGTGTGCCAATAATCCTCACCAACTCGCCATTCAATACCTCGTAGCGAAGGTCGGTCGTCCGTGCCCTTTGACACGACCCATTTATCCTTCGCTGAATTAAAGTCTCTGTACAGAATTATTGTCGGCTGATGCCGCAGCGCAATGCCGTCTTATTGTATAGCCAGTTGATAAGTCGAATGCATTTTTTTGACAGATGTAAAACAATCCAGTTCGTGGGAAACTACTATACGTGGCCCCGCGTAACATTTTTAATTAAAAATATGCATATACATAATTTTACACTGAAATATATATTATTTCTTTACTTTAGAATACATTTCCATGATTTTATGAAAAGTCGTTTATGACTTCCTAAGCATTGCATTGTTTTGCGAACTGTCAAAAAAACATCCAACTCGTAGACCGACTATAGATTCTTACGCGCTTTCTAGTACGCGATACGTGAATGAAAAACTGCTAAAAATCACAAAATAAGCTGTACTCCGAAAAGAGTTTTTTTTCGTTCAACAAAAATCGTAACATTTATCGACAGAGCTTTGCACAATTGTAGGATCAACTTGATCCGAGCTGAAGAAGCTATCTAAGCACGTACGGCTGGCACGAGGCATTTTGAACGTGGCCCCTATCGACAAGGCTTAGCTGGTTGGTTACTTCCTGAGTGCTGAGAAGTAGGATAATCAGGACACCAAGACCCTCTTCTTCGAGAGGGTTAGATATGAAAGGAGTGCATGGAGAGGAATCTGTAGTAGAGTTCTGATCTATCAACCGTATCTAATCATAAATAAGGGAATACCCTTCTCGATATTGGCACGCATAGAGATGCACGTACAGGAGAGAACAAAAACATGACAGATAAGCGCAAATCTATGACCCGGTAATAATGATACGAGGGGTTTATTCACTTTTCCTTTATAAATTAATTTTTGCCATTTTAATCTAGCGAGTTTCAACTTCACACGCTGCACGAACCATGTTGAGAAGCGTAACTGGCTGGGCTTCTTAATCAGACTTCAGTGAAGTTCCGAAAAGAGCGGATGGTATGTAAATGCATTTTTCTAAAGTAACGTAATTATAAAAGGAAAATAAGAATAAGTTAGGGAACGCTATTTATTCGTGAAGAATTCGCAGGAGCCTTCGCCACGAATATTCGAAACTTAAAACATACACAATGCCCGTACGTTTTTCCCACATTCGCGAACAGTTTATTTATTCATGTATCCGTTGATAAAAAATTCCTTCAGTATTTGTCGCTGCAAAAAATAACTGAAGGATTCATCGAAATGGGCATTGACATTTACATCAACTTCTATCGTCCATCTCTTTTCTTTCCTGTTAAAGATTAGCCTGATGTCGTTGACTGATGGTCACGTAGTTTTTTTTTCATGAGGGTATATGTATAGGTATACGAAATTATCCTACGTGCAAAATTCTTCTGATTATATTAATCTCGTCCTGGACATTCATAGTGTCTACGAACCATGCCACTTAAATAACAAACACGTGTACACTAGGTGCATTTGGTCTATTGGCAATTTAGCACTGGAATTCTAATCAAATCTGAATGCTATGAATACGTAGATCCGTACAAAGGGAATTATGGTCAATAGCAAAGTACAGTTGCACCGTAACTATTAAAAAAAATCCTAAGATTTCTGAAATTCTCGACGTCCTAATCTCTTGGTGCAACGAGAAATTCAAATTTAGTACAAAAAGAGACTCATAGAGGCGCTGGACATCAATTTCTACAGACGCGGAATACTACGATACGACAGATGTGACGTGCAGTTCAAATATCAGACCGATTATTCAGAGAACTTTTGCCAAATACGAGATAAACATGAAATTTATATTAATTTACAAGATGGCAGAATTGTAAATTCAAATTATGGTTGCAATAGCTACAACTGACGACGGAGTAATCGCGATGAATCACCATGAACCTACTCAACACCATCGACAAAAAGTGACATATGTAGGTACGCATGAAGGTTGTCTCGCACTATATGCGTGTCAAGGTGTTTAGTTGCTATCTTTTTTTTTTTTTGATAAAATCGACAATAGCATCGAGGGTCAACCCCATATCGATCGGACTGAATACACGTGGTACAGTCAGGGTAGACAACCCTCTTCCATGCCAATTTGTTTCTTTTATCGGTTCCGCATAAATAAATATGTACATACAGGTTGGATAGGCATATATAAAGCAATTCTTGCGGAAAGATCAAAAGAAAAAAAATGAGCACAATTCAGAAACACTGTAGTAAGGATATACTTTTTCAAATTCCTGGACGAACAGGGGCTATTTGACGGAAATAATCGAGACCGGAAAGTATAATAGCAAATCTGCACAATTCGGCTTGGCTCAAGAGAAGCGGCATGAAAGATAAATGAGAATATGGTTTCGTTTCGTTCGTATTGCCTGTATATCTGATATTCCAACGTTCTTTCCCGATAGCTGATAGGGCGGTCAGTGAGAACATTTAGCCGAAACCCAGATGACATGACTAGGTAAGTTTCTTCTTATTTTCTCAGCTGGTAAATGCTGGCGGAAATTCCATGTGGTCGAGATAAAGATTTGTCGGCGGAGGAAAAGTTTTCACGTTCTTTTGCATAGCGAATAATTCCTGTTTTTCATCAAACACCAATACCTTAAACTTTTCTTATGTATTATATCTTCCTTGAGTGTTAAGTAAAGCAAAACCTTTCCAGTTTACCTGATACGAAATGCCATGACGATACTGATATTCATACTGAGAATCGATTTTATTTAATGCTTTGCTCATTTTCTCAACTTCAGTTTTTACTACGTGCTTTGTAAGTCGTGCCACGGCAAGATGCATTTACGTTGTCACTAATTCAATAACGTACAGACCTTAGAATTAGATCATGCCTCGTCGTACTCATATAGGCTCGTGAAAATGCAATCAAGTCGCAGAGAAATATGACCAGTCACAAGTATTAGTAGCGAGTCAACTTTCAAATCGTTCTTTATACCTTATCAATTGTAAGCTCATATTGCATAAGTATCCTCCTCCTCTGTACGCACTTTTCAACAGAATATTCGTATTTCAGATACATCCTCTTTAAGTTATAGGAGATATAGGGAGACGCCGTGCTGATGGGAAAAAATAACGTTTCCCCATTGATTTTCTTCGATCCTATAGAATAAATAAGTATCGTCATTCTTGAATGCAAAATATTGGTACATAATGTGGACAAATTCAAACAAACCACCGTAATTTTGTGGCCAACCTACAGTTCTGCCATTCAACACATAATTAATAAATTAGTTATTAACGATCCACGACGATATGTATGTGCATACACCAAACTTGTTGCTATTGAAAGAATCGAATTGTACACGTAACGAGACATTGTCGTTGAACCGGTTTTTCCAGTAAATCCCGAATGAATGCTACGATATGAATTCAGCATTCTTTGTGATTTAATTCACGGCAGATATTTTCTTCTGATACGAATGTCTGGGTAGATGAAAAAGAACAGGGAATGAGGTTGCGTTCAAAGTATTTTAAAGTAAATAAATAAATAAATGTATGGAGTTTTGTTACACCTCGTAGACGTTATAAGAAATGAATATACACAGTGCACGTGCATCTACAAAGGTACATGGATGGATGAATTTACACCTGATTCACAGTACCCCGTTGCATCTATTGTCCTTCTGTGGAAATGCATCACTACTGATATTTATATTCCCTTCATGCTTCTACAGAAGCGTGAAGCATTATAGCAAATGTATCACGTAAGATGTAACAGTCTTTCAGACGCATACATATTCTTTTTTCGCCAGAAGTGCATATACCTGTACGAAATTTCTCTACACCCTCAATAAATATTAGTAAGGCCATAAATAGGAACAGAAAATGAAGTAAACCATTGCGATAATCCCCATGAGTTCCTCATCCTCTCAAGACAACATTAGTAGTGGATATAATCCCGTGCAGACGGAACCCTTGAAATTCAGGTTCAATCAAGAAAAAAAAAGGTAGAAAGTTGCACTTAGAGAGAAGAGTCCAAATATTCTTTTGGATCGCAACACCCGAATAAATTTACTTCCTGTGTTGCGAGCAGTAAAGAGAGGTTCCCAAGACTGCGGTTACCTACTTTTATAGGTAATAATTGTGAAAAACAGAACAGGAGAAGATAAAAAAAATAAGAAGATAAACTCGGACACGCACTTACCTCTGGCCAATGGGGGGCGGGGGGGGGGAGAAAAAAGGATGAGCAACGAAAAGGCTCGCGGCTTCAGGCAGACCTCCCTCCGTGAAAAATAAGAGAAAACGCAAGGAACACTGGGACCCTCTTCTTCACTGCTATTGTATTCGACTGTCAACTATCTTGTTACACACAGGCACTACACCCTTTATCACCTCAACGAGACAGGTGCGTGCAAATCGTATGCACGCAGACTGATTAGGACTGTGACAGCTGCTTGAGTACTGTCTCACCCAAACTGGTGTTTACTACTGAACGCCGACTATCAGGCCGGGGAACATCCGAGCCGTCTCAACAGTGCAACAGTTGCTTGACCGCGACTTTGGAGCCGCCTCGCGGTCATAAACTTAACTGCCTTTTGATGGAGGGTAATGCAGTACCTTCGGGACGGTACTAATGTTGAGGACGATGTATGGATTTTCCTTCTTCAAATAGAAAAAAAAAAATCCACAACGATTTTTTGGACCCATAATTATTTTATTAAAACATATGAATGATTACGAGGTATTGTGATATACATGTATAATGTTTCAGATATGTACATTATTATATTGACATAATTGTCTTATAGTTGCTATACCATTATTTTACCATCTTCTCTTGAGAGAATTGTAATGAGACTTTCTTTTACAGTTTTTTGCAGCGTAGATATTATTTTCACGCAAGTATGAAGGATTTAATATGTGACCGTGGTATGACTCAATCAAACATATTTCGTTATATAAATTTTCAGTAGTAACTTCTATAACGCTTGCGCACTCGTTTAAAAGCCAACGAAAGCTGGTCGGTAATTCCTTTTCAAATAACTCGAAAGTTGGTTGTCCTACGTCCAGTTCACAGTGATATATCCAGTATTCCGAGTAAGGTCGGAATAGTTTTAAATTATCGGTGATCTCCGTCTTTAAAGAGCAATTCTCATTTTCATTCTCGCCAATGCAACCATTCAAAGTGGAAATTTCATCGTCACTTAAATTGAAAGGGTTATTAGGATCCTTTACTTTAGCCTTTTTCTTCTTCTTTTTTGCGATTATGTTGATCGCTGTCGTTTTGGAATGTAAATCGTCCGTATTGCACTTTTGCTGTTCAACGAGAGGCATTTCGAACACTTTGGCTTTTATACCTTCGTGGTTACGATATTTTGATTTTACAAAATTTCCCAAAGAATCAAAGTACATTATTATAGGATTATGAACCGGATTCTTGGATATTGGAGCATTCAGTATAGCTTCCTTTTCGGTAGAGGAGAATTCGAGATTGTAATTGTCATAAAAATTATCAATATTATCTTGAGACGAGGAATTATTTGTTTTGAATGTTTCATCGTCATGACTTCCCACGTCATTGTCGTCATCGATGAGTAATCTACCATTCGGTAGAATTTCATTAAACGCAAAATCTTCCCAGCATTCTGATGTCAGATCTTGAGTAGTGGGTAATAAGTTTTGGACACTGTCATAAAGTGATTGTTTTTTCATGTCCATTTTCAATTTTCCAATATTATTTCTGTACAAATATTCGGTTAGATCATCACCAGTGCGAAGCGGAAAATTCTCTTTAGAATCGTCAGTTCCCACAAGCACAAATTGATTCAATTCTTTCAGTGAAAAAACCACCTGTTTAAAAGGTGGTACAAGCTTTTCCAAAAAATGCATATTTGAATCAATGACTTCCAGATTAACATGATCTCCAAATATTAGTTTTTTTACCCTGTAACATTGAATGTATTAACACACAAATACGAAAACCTATCTGCAGATAAGCTTCTTTCTTGTTATCGGAATAAAAATTATTTATTTGACTTACATTTCCGGTTTCGTAGTGTATGCAATTTTGGTTTCCGCAAAATTGCTTCGAAGGAGATTAGGTATGTCACGGTCTGAATTTTCTAGCAATTGTTCGAGGTAAGAGTATTGGGGTGTTAATGATGGTGCAAACGTTTCCCCTGCATTCAATGGTAAGGAGTTTTCATTTAGTTTACCAATACATTGAGACATAGCATTAGATAGCTCTTGAGGCATTGCAACTTTTGGTTTAGGCTCTTCGGTATCATCCCTTTCCTTTTTTGATTGCATCCATTTGAGAAACCCCAGATAGAGATGACTAGTGCTTGGTAAGTCTTGTTCGTACTTTAATTTTGTAGGGAAATGGAGTTTCGTTAATAAGGCTTTTCTACACTCGATGTATCGTTGCCATTCGCGAAAACTAAATAATGTTGAATCCAAGCGACCACTTTCCGCAACCATCCTGCAACGACGAATAACAACTATTCATAAATAAATGATAATACATAAACTATGGGTAATGATTGATATTGAGTACATTCAAAATTTGGGCAATCGATTATTCGCATCCACATGCTAACTCCGTATCATGTTCATATCTTTGTATTCTTTTCTCATTGGCATCTGCTCCAAACATAATCAAATCATTCTTGACTATAGCATAAGGCATTCTAGAAGTAGTGCAGTAGGATTTCCAACAGCCACATTTTTGTAGTACTATTCCACCACCTAAACTACCCATTTTATTTGACATTCTATCCAAATTTCTTTTAAGAGCTTCGTCAGCCTCGCAACCTTCTATTATTTCTGAAACTATGGACCTAGACATTCCTAGTTTTATTATTGATTCTCCTTGACCCGTCAAAGAACAGCCTGCTTCACTGTTAGCGAATGTACCACAGCCTAAAAGTGGAGAGTCTCCCACTCTACCGACGTTTTTATTGTGCAAACCACCTGTGCTGGTTCCTACTGCCATAGTAAAACCATCCCAAGCTATACAACCGACAGTACCATATTTTTCTAGAAGTTAAAATTTTATTAGATTACTTATTTAAATAGCATTCTAGATGAGATCAATTACTTTTGGTTAGATCAGCAAATGAATTTTCAGAAGTATATTGCGGCTTGTCTTTATTTCTATGCACTGTCGGTGCCACCATGGTGCCTTTGGAGAGCCAATTCATTCCTGCACAGTTTGCTAATGTTTTAGCCCCATCCCCTACAACTATTGTATTTGGATAATTCTCCATCACAAATTTAGCTAATGATATAGGATGTTCTATGTCAGATACAGCTGCCACAGATCCACATATGGACCTTGTACCATCCATTAAACATGCGTCCATTTGTACATCTCCTACATTACAAAATTTGTTTTGAAACGAATTTTGCTAAAGCTATTTTTCCAAAATTCTACAAACCTAGTTCATTTAATGCGGAGCCGTAGCCGCAATTGAAATATTCATCGTTCTCGAGCCACCAAAGGGCTGCTTCGATCGCTTCTATGGAATTTCCTCCATTTAGTAATATTTTATATCCAATAGACGCGGATTTCTGACAAGCGAATACCTTCTCAACAACTTCTGAGTCAACAATTTCTCCAGCACCGCCGTGCACTATTATACAGGGAATGCTATCAGATGCCAGTTTCTGTATCTTGGCTTTTGATATCTTAGATAAGAATTGTGGAACATCGAAATTTTTGTATAGCATTTTAGAATAAATTCCATTACGATCATATAATTCGTGTTCGGTCATGTTTTATTAATAGAAATGCTTTTAATTTGTATGCATCATTTCACATAGTACGTAACCTTAATATTTTTGCAATAGGGAATGACGTGTGATTTTGAGGTTTTCCCGAAACAATAGACGATGAAGCGAATTTCTCAAAAAATAAATGGTAACATAAAATTATTGGTAATGCACTTATTGACGAAAAAAAAAAAAAAAACTTACTGATTTGTTGTCTCCGCAAATCTACTGATTTCGTATTCCGTAATTCCATCTAGACCAAACAGAAGTTTTAAAATGACAATAATAAATGCCATTGCGCGAGCTTCGTAGTTTGGAATCATTGTATTTTGCAAAGTGAAAACCATTTTCGGTGGTGCCAAAGCGATGAGTCTCTCAGTATACAGTAATACACCTCCTGAAAGTATTACAAAGTTATTAACTGCCTTGACAATATGGAGGAATATTATTTTTAAAGAATATAGTTTTTCACCATACTGGGTAGTTGTAATTCTTGACAGTATCGACTTATTAAGGGCAAGAAGTACGGACAAGTTATTTCACGAACTCCAAGAAACTTCGCCATACGCGCTGATGTGTTTCTCATGGCCTTATGAGTTATCTCCGTAGTTTGTGTTATAATATTCAAGTCGCTTTTTGTTAAAACAATTTCTGGCGGAATTAGGTGATCCATTTTATAATAGGATAAATGTCCTTCCCTTACAAACCTGATTATCATAAAATGCAACGCTATTATTCAGTTGTCTTCCACTTATCAGATTACAAAAGAAAATCAAGAGATTCGGTTAGTCTCGTGCCAACGACAGGTAACAGGCAGTACAGGTCGACTGAGATTAGAAAACATTACTTACCGTAACATATCTCCTAAATGAATTTGTTGATCATGTATTCTTAGTGCTAAATATAGGATTGCCCATAATTTCACGGGTGAAACCATGTTAGGACTAGTAAGATATTGTTTCCTCGTATATTTTTCTTGAAGTTTACGCCTTTCTGCAAGTGGTAATATTTTGGTGGCTTCCTTTATCCTTTTTGCTTCCATTTTGGCGTGCTTACTAAATTGAACTCTAAACAAAATATAATAGAATTATAAGTACCTACTGTAATTTGTATAGTTAGAGAATACTAAAAAAATTTACCTTTTACTACGTGTTGAAGAGCGACTGCCATTTGATTGTAGACTGTATAAACTTTGATTCATCAGACTGACAGCATCAGCTTCAGAGCTATCTTGTGACTGGATGTATCTATCATACTCAGCAGCTACTAACATTTTCTGTAATATTTATGAATAATAAATGATGTTCTTGATGATTAATTGGAAAATATTAAATTATACATACCTTTTGCTTATTTAATTCCTTAATAGAACTACCCTCACTCATATAACTTGTAGATACCAAGGAAGATGCACTAGCACCACTGGCATCTCGCTTTCGCTTTCTGTTTCTCTTTTTCTGTTGTATTTTACCATAAATAATAGCAGCATCTCTGAAATATATCTTTGGTTATACATTGTTCGACATTATTGATAAACGCATCATTTGTAAAACACCTACTTTTTATTAAATCTACGTGCAAGTTTTGGAATATGTTGTTTCTCAGTGGAAGTGAACGCCACCTCAATTTTTCCCAAGTAGGTTGACCATAGCTGAAGAACTGTTAGTTTTATTTCCATTGGTGCTCCAAGTTCGATAAGTTCATTTGTTAAACCAATTAATATGAAGTTATATAGTTCCCACGAAGTCCATCCAATTTCTTGTGCTGAGAAAAAACATTGTTAAATGTATCATTAGACTAATAATATTATTTGAATGAAACGTATGCAAGTTTACCTGATTTAGTAGATTGATCTTGTCGAATCCTCGTCTTTCTCAATCGTGTAGAAGGGTCTACCCTAATTTCCAAAATTTCTTCCCTTTTTTCCTAGTGCAAAGAAATCAATAAAGTTCATTATCAAATAAATAAGTGTTAAATATAAATTCTTACCTGGCTCTGTGTTTGGCATTCTTGGCAGTAAAAATACCCTGCCTCCGTATAAAATTCTAAACTACCACAAACTACACAAGACAGCATTGTGACTGTTTTTCTATTGAAATATAACTAATATTTAAGTGTACATATAAACTCAACTGAATGTATAGGTTAAGTACTTCTACTCTTTAAATTCACTATGAGTCTATGAATCAAGATTGGTAATCTGTAACGTAATAAAAATGATCATTTTTTCGAAACATCAATATTTTTCCTAATTTGCGTTTTATCACCATTTTACAAAATGACTTATTTTTTCAATGTACAATTTCCTAAACGACATTTTCCCACGTGCTGTTTCATTGAAATTGATTCATATTTATGTATATCACAATGTATATAACCTGAGCCATGCCGGAGACCGTAGCCTGAGGATTATTTTTGTAATTAATAATCGGATAACCAATGACGCGTACGTTTTAAAAGGTAGAGATGAACGCCATTGGTTAACGCTGTTTGAAGCGTGTACTGTGGAAATGAATTGTAAATTATTTAACAAAAGGAGTAATAATGAACTAGCTAACTAATATTTCCCATAAATTATACAAATATATTTCCAATTAGAAAGTTGTCCGTAAGTCGGGTATTCTGTAAACATTCTATCTTGCAATGAAACTGTCGAACTTCATTGACCAATTGGAGTTCAGTGTTGGAAGTTGCACAGTAGTGTAGATTTTTTTCAAAATGGCCTCACCAAGCTTTCCGGTACACATGGTCACGCTTGGGACATAGTGATGTGCATGTAACATTTTATAATTGTGAAAAATAAATAGGAAGTCTAAAATTATGGTAAGTTTTTTCATAATAAATCGTAAATTTAACGTGCATTTTTGCTACAATGTTTTGTGGATATAATGGTTGAGAATGTATTAAATTAAAATGTAAACATAGCAGCGTGTTGAATAACCTGAATTACCGGAGAAATTGGATGATGAATGATTTAAAAATAGATAAAAATATAACATTTTATTGTTATATTTATATATTAAGTACTGTCATTTTTTGTTGATATTGCATACTTTATTTGTTTATGTGACAGTGTCAATATAAAAATTATATCACCTACATTTTCTTTTTGTTGCAGGCTACAAAACTTTATGTTTTGTATGAACATGCTGCAGGCTATGCCCTGTTCAGTGTGAAGGAATTTGAAGAAGTTGGAATGCTACTTCCTCAAGTTGAGGCATCTGTAACAGACTTGGCTCGGTTCAATGGAGTTGTAAAACTTGTTGCTTTTTCACCATTTAAAACAGCTCTTGCAGCTTTGGAGAATATAAATAGTATTTCTGAGGGTATAGTTCCAGAGGATCTGCAGCTTTTCTTAGATTCCAGTGTTCCAAAAGCTGGAAAGAAACAGAAGATTGTTCTTGGTATATCTGATCCAAAACTTGGTGCAAGTATTACTGAAACACTGAACATAAAATGTGACCATACTGGTGCTGTTCCTGAAATTATTCGAGGAATACGATTTCATTTCCATAATTTGGTAAAAGGATTCACTTCTAAGAGCTCAGGGATTGCACAGCTTGGTCTTGGTCATAGTTATTCTCGAGCCAAAGTCAAGTTCAATGTGAACCGCGTGGATAATATGATTATTCAGAGTATTGCCTTGCTGGATCAATTAGACAAAGACGTTAATACTTTTAGCATGCGTATACGGTGAGTGTTTTATTAAAGCACTGTTGTTTATATAAAGAAATTTCTCTGTTAAAAGTTAAATGCTTTTAGAACAAAGATTTTATTATTACCATCTTGTAAAACACTATAAATTAGTCATTTGCTCCAATCCTACTACTTATTATTGATTATTGTTCATTTACAGTGAATGGTACAGTTATCACTTCCCAGAACTTGTGAAAATCGTACCAGAAAATTACATGTACGCCAAGGTTGCGCAGTTTATTAAAAATCGCAAAGAACTTAACAATGAAAAGTTGGAGGCGTTAGAAGAGATTGTAATGGATACAGCCAAAGCTCAGGCTATTATCGACGCATCAAAATCGTCAATGGGGATGGACATAAGTCCTGTGGATCTCTTAAACATCGAGATGTTTGCTGGTCGTGTAATCGCTTTGGCTGACTATAGAAAACAACTTGCAGAATATCTACGAGCAAAAATGGCCGGTGTTGCTCCAAACTTAGCCACACTGATTGGAGATCAAGTTGGCGCAAGACTCATTGCTCATGCCGGTTCATTAACGAATTTAGCCAAATACCCTGCATCCACTGTACAAATCCTTGGAGCTGAAAAGGCTCTATTCAGAGCACTAAAAACTCGAGGAAATACTCCAAAATATGGATTGTTGTTCCATTCGACATTCATCGGCCGAGCGGGTACAAAAAATAAGGGTAGAATTTCAAGATACTTGGCTAACAAATGTTCAATTGCATCCAGAATTGATTGTTTCGCTGATACACCTACGAATGTTTTTGGTGAGAAATTGCGTCAACAAGTCGAGGACAGACTGAAGTTTTATGAGACCGGAGATATTCCGAAAAAGAATATTGACGTGATGAAGGAAGCAATAGAGGAAGCTGCAACCGTTATAGCTAGCATAGAGGAGGAATCTCCGAAGAAAAAGAAGAAGAAAGATAAAAAGCGAAAGAGTGAAGTGCTAGAAAATGGAAAGTCGAATGGAGTATCTGAAGATGCACCTGCAGAGCCAGAAAACAATGAAGAGGTTCCAAAGAAAAAGAAGAAGAAGAAGAAGTCCAAAATTAATGGTAATGAATGAAGCAAAACGATACTCAGTGATTATCGCTGGTTCTCTTTTCTTTCTCCTAACAGTATAACGAGAAAATACTTTATATTTAGCTTTCGTATAAACTTATGAGACATGTGCCATTTGTTTTATAACAAGGCATAATTTATGAAGTTCCTTGTGCAAAGCTATAAAATGGCAATAGTGGTGCTCATACATATTATGATGTTGATTCAGGGACATCATAAAATAATAAAACCTTGTGGTTGAGGTAAATTGATCGACATTTCTTATCTGAATCAGAATGATCAATATCGATCACCTCATTAAGAAAATCACAATTTAATTTTAAACTAAAAAAAGTGGTGTTCAATATAGAAGAGACAATGTTCCAGTGTAAACTGTACCTCTCGTTGACATTTTGTACATGCCTTGCAAAATTAAATTACTGAATATGTAAATAGCTTGCATATCGCGATTAATTAATTGGCCAAACTGCCGCAAATACATGTATGACGTAAAAATATTCCTAAAGACTATCTTTATATTAAATTTATATCATTTTTTGTGATCCACTTGACAACATTAGATTAATTGCCTTCAACTCCAATGTATAATACTGACAATATTTAGATACTGATTTACTTTTTACAGAAATGACAAGTTTGACCAATTAATTACAATAATTTTTGTATGTATGAATTCATGTATGTATTCGTTTCAGTACTTCAAGATAAAAACATGTGAATTTAGTGAATATAAAATCAATATTTCCGAGGTATATATTGAACCTAAATGAATACGAAATCAACAACTGTGCAACAAAAGAATCTGCATTAAACTTAAAATGTTACTAGTTCAGTACGTTTTCCATTATATTTCAAATAACAGTGATCCATTTAGTAGCATTTCAATACTTCAAATCATTCAAGGTCTTCGCAATATTTGAAACAAGGGAGAATGTATATTAATTATTAAGTAATAAACAGATGCGTAAAGCAAAAATTGATTCTGATCATTCATCGTACTATTATCAAAATACATTTTATTGTTGAAAAAGGAAAGGATAACAGCAGGTCAGATTGAAGAACTGTACACAATACATTATATTAATACCAGCACCGATGAGCATTTAATAATAGTAAAGGTAAAGACATAGGTATAAATTTTTTGAATTATTACTTACAATTCTTGATTATAATACAATGAAAATCGACTGACAACTTGTGGAGTTCGTAATCATTAATTACGTGTGCAGGTATTGATTTTTTACCGATGCACATTCTTATCTCTCACTTGATTACACCTTGTCAACCAGAGTATCAATTCAACAACTTACAATGACATACAGTTTTTAGTTTGTACAAATACGAAAAAGTTATTTGCAATATAATCTTCACCACGTTCGAAAAAAAAAATAATCAATAGGAAATTCATTCAATCTAAATAAAATAATGTCTCGTGCATCGATACGCCCTATACTTACTACTCTACAGTTCACATTTTATGCAATAACCCAGTAGAGGCTCGTCTCATGAATATATACCTTGATTTCAAATCATTTTTGTTTATAGATCTTGATATTATTTATCTGATTTTTTGTCTGGATTTTAATTCAATTTTCTGCCTCCCCCCCAACAATCAAAACTTTACCTTCAGGCAATATAATTTTTTCAATGCTGCACGACTGAGTAATTTCTACATTGTTGTCAATGCAATATCGATGGATATTAAATATATGGAAAAAGATTTATAATAAATACTTATTATAAAGAAGTAGGATACTGTTTTTAGAATTTCATTCGTTATCGGATTTTTATAACTTGCAGTTCTCCAAATTGTATCGTTTAAGTAATTACACTCGTGATAATTGAATTTTAATTAAAGTTCACAGTTAGATCCTTCTATTAGATAATATGCGCTTAATCACATAATTGACGTTCACTCAATATTACCTTAGAAGGCTCTCGATCCTGAATGAAAAATCTAAATCTGAACAGTTGGTCTTCACAATACTTATACATAAAAAACAGTGTTGCGAATTTTTCTGCAATGCCTTTCCAACGGATTTTCGTATCAAATGGTAGTGCAAGACTCATAGTATAAAATACCACATCAATTTTTGTTTATACTATATCAATTACATATATTTATATATTAATATACCTTGCATAGTAGTTGCCCATGAAAATCTATTCTTACCCACTTTACACATCTCACCCTGTATTAAATGCACGAGTTATGAGACTTAAAGAAAATGGGGGGAAACAATTCAGTCTCTTGGGTGGGGGGATAGAAAGAATTCAAAATAAAAGACTTGCCTCGGGCCTAAAAGTAAGAAAGAGTTTTCAGAACGTTTTGCATGGCTGGACGACTGTTCTATCGCAATTGATATTTTAATGAATATATAACGCTAAAAAAATTAATCCTTGGATAATATTTATTATCCTTATATTGCTAAAATTAGGCTTTGCTGCATACGGTGATATCTTATATCATTTCGCACAGTGGACTCTTAAAAATAACGACATTCACTCGAATACAGTTATTCTCTCTTTCTCTCTTTCATTCGAAGGCACCAAACCGCGGTTACCGAAATTTACATTTACAGATATATTTCATCGCACATATTGTACCTGATTGTTCAAATCAAATCTGAAGTCTCACCAGACTCAATTTTCAGAATAAACGTGCCACGATCCAACATATAAATGCAGCAAAGTCCCTTAATTATTCACTAAAATTTGCCACTTATACGTAGAAAGAAAAAAAGCTAACTTAAGAAACTATGTTAATTAGTAACTAATTACTAATAACTGTCTGCTTACTTAAGTGATCGACTCAATATTCATTTTGAAAGATATGCATCCATCATACTAAGTACGGAACGGTTATAACAATAGAGATGTCACTTTTTTGTATCATATTCGTTTTTTATAAAATTTATCTGATTTTTCAAATGCTATGAAATGTGATGCGACACGTATTCTTCATATTGCAATGAACTTGCTTTACATTAAATGAAGTATCATGGGGCCTTCTAGTAAAGATATTTTTAGAAATAATACTATTGAACGTGACACATCAAACATATAAACTTAATAATTACAACTAAATAAATCATTATCATACATGTTTTTGACATTAAGTGATTCTATAAATTTGTTGTTGAATTTTAAATCTATAACCAAATAACGAATTTGGTTTGAGGGATCAATCTTTCATGGCTTAAACCCTAAATATCTTGCTTGAATATGAAACTGCTCAAACAATCTAAGTGACATAAGTTTCTATTTTAATTTTGGTGATTTTATACTTTTGAAACTGTAATTATGCAAGTAACGGCATATACGTGTCCTGCCATAGCAAAAGCGTTTGTGACATATACATCGCCCATGGGTTTTTTGACATCGCAGGGGTACATAAAGATGACTTTTCTAAGAAATTATTGACAACTTTTAACATTTTTCGCGTATTATACAAAAGTGGAATGTACTGTTCCGTTGTTTGGGCGATCCTGTTTTGTATCAGTATTATGAAAAGACGAAAATTTCATGCGACCATATGAGCGCTTATGGTCGAGAAATTACATCGATGTATTCATATTTTAGAGCACGTTAATATTTTTATGAAACTAATCGGTCGCATATAGACGAATCTAATTTTCGAGTTATTTGACAGGCTATTGCGCTACTTTTGTTGTGCTACTGTAGCATAGTAAAACTTGATATTCCATCATCTCATATCTTAACAAGATTCGATATCGTTATACTTCACACATCTTGATTTATCTTATACATAATGCATTTTTGGTGCAAAACTAAATTTGTGTTGGGGAAGCACGTATCGTCAACAATTTCATTCTTATTTAAAGACAAGTATCTTTAATAATGATTACTTATCGAAAAACGATAGTAAAGTACATTCATTATTGATGAACTGATGATAGGTACAGAATTTTTTCGTAAATCGTAGCGCACGAATAAAATTGATTTTTATCAATATCTTGTTAAATGTGCACATTCTCTGCGAATGTAGCTATCATTCCAAAAACCTGGTACGGAATCAAGGTGCTGTTGTACGGCATTGAATCAATTACTTGACGATTTTTCTTTGTGTAAAAATTTACCACGAACATTTCTTGATACATTTATAATAGCATGATCTTCAAAATGTATCATTTGAATTACGCATAAAACGCGTAATGCATCGATTTCTCTCATGAATCTTTTCCATAATGTACACTTTCACACACCACGACGTGCTCTAGGTGGTCCTAGTCAAGGAAGATTATTGTATTTCGTGGATTAAACGCTACGCCATACTGAATACATGCATGTGACATTCTAGAGATTAATTTGACAAGCTACCAGCCAACGTTTAAACCACCGCGCGAGAAAATTCAAAATTATATCTCGTATTTGAATTTTGTTTCCTTCCTTTTATCTTCCAAATTTCTGACACAGCCACGTCCTCATACCACATATCAATTTGTATTCATTCATACAAATTTAGTACCTATCTAATGGAGACCTGCTATAGTTATCATCACCAATTTGTAATTTACAATCGATGAGAGTTTTGCATTGCCATGTGTATTTTCTTTGTTTCACTTAATTACAGATTTATTCGCCACTCTAATGTCTTTAATGAAAGAAACTTGTTTCACTCTCATAGACGTCAAATTAGTTATCTCTAATTTAGAAAGGAAATATTGCTTGAAATTATAATATCTACAATGAATCTACAATCACGCCATTTAGTAACAAAAGCTTTCTGGATCAGAAACGCAAGATTAAAAAGGGATTTTTATCCCAATGCCATTTGGCGGCTAATGAATTTAAACTCTGTACAGTTTGGAGATATACTATATTATGTAATGTGTGATGGTTGATGAAAGATTCAAATTTAACGATGAAGTTGATCGACTATAGCAAGCCTTAATGATTTATCCACTAATTATAATATCTACCCCAGAACAAGATGTTTCCGATTGCCGGACAGGTTTATCAAATGAATCTGTCTCATTGGAACGCAGGAAAGAATGCTGGATTAGTTTGAGACTGTGGCTGCGTCATTGCCGAGGAATATCCAGTTGTAGATACTGCTGAAAAGATATTCTCTTTGTAAGAGAAGTGGAAAAAAGTGAGATTAGAAAAATGATGTATGTTATGACATTAGCAGAATTCATTATTAGATGCCGGTTATTGTGGTTTCTTTTAAATAATGTCTGCTTATTTACCCATAGACTTGGCTTGGTGCTGCGGACTGTTACTGGCCAATTGATTCATAGTTGGTGCAGGTCCAGTTTGTTTCGTTTTGCTTCCCATAATGTTGTCGAGGTCAATATTTAGTCCTGCTCCAGCCCACGTTGAACCAACTTGAGCTGAGGATGTGTTACTCGAAGGTGATGTTTTAACGTTGGTTGACAGTGGAGTAAGAACATTACCGACAGGTGATACTCCCATCGATCCTAAATATGGCAATGGTATATACTTTTTAAGTCATACGCAAAATGTTATACCTCTTTCCTTGCATATAGGTCCAAATTCTATATTTAAAACAACTGATGCGATGACTGAATGTAATAAAATGATATATTGATTATTTAAAGCATACATGAAAGAGATTAAACGATGTGATATTATAATTTTTATATGTCCTTAAATTGATATAAACATCTTACAAATAAAAACAGTTCTAAATGTTTTTAAAGCGTTTGATTATTCAAATATTATTTAACGTAGAACCAATGGCAGAATCAATCAATGACACCACGTTTCTTCCTAAATTTCTACAATTATTATCAGGATCTCCTCTGAATGTGTTTTGAGACACATCCATAAGCCACAATCTAATTTCCATGAGTGGCTCGAAAAGTTCATTTAATAAAAACTGCTTTGGCACAGCTATCACTACTGATGCAACATTTTCTATTACAGCCAATCTGACTTTAGCTTCGTCGTGATATCGCAAGGTCCAAGCCAAATCCAGAACATCTTTTCCTATTTTTGGAGCAAGTAGACAATTTTGCGCTGCCACGACGATAGTAGACAAGGTTTTCAAAAAGTGGATGAGTAAAATATTTTCTTGATCCACAAAGGACTTTGGTGTATTGTACATGCATGTGTCTTTTCTTCCAAATCCATATAAGAGGGGATAAAAGAAAGATGATACTACATTCCCAAATTTATTCTTTGTTGTCCTTGGAATCTTTGATTGGTGAGCAAAGCGTTTTGTATTGAGTTGTATTCTCTTTCGCACTATATCTACCCACTCAGCTTCAGATTCATTGGTTGTCGCTACCTCAAAATCATCATCGAAAAGGGTCTCTTGTGCAGTTTTTTCAGTACTTATAACAAGTGATAGTGGTTTAGACTTCACTCTTTTTGGATGTGTTTCAATTTCATGATTTTCTGTATGAACATCATCCATTGCTATTTCAACTTTTGATAGTCTTCTAGCGGATTCTGCTAGAATATTCAGAAAAAATATTCTCTGCGTTACAGAGTATTTCGATATTTCTGTATGAAACTCTCGACAAAGATATTCTGCAGCTTCTTTAGGATATACAGTCACGATTGCTACGCAAGATTTAAATGTTAATAATTCGAAGTTTTCAACATAAGAATTTTCACGGAGTGTAACAAGGATTTCCAGTAGTTCAATGCCAAAGGACACATCATCTCCAGGTAATTGTGAGAGTATTAATTCTTCACAAACATTCATGCTTTGTGCAAACACATCAGGATCTGCATTGGTTTGTATATCTATTAAGTTATCCCGCAAGTCTCTTAAATACGCAGGCCGTTTTTTTTCTGCTATTTCAGTATCATTAGACATATCGTAAGGAACTAAATCATCATCACTATCAAGGTCATCTTCGTCGAGGGTTTCGCACTTGGTACTTTTCGTATTATCGGTTGCTTTGTGTTCTTTCTCTGTTCTTAATACCGTATTCTCTTCTCGAATTTCAAGTGGTTCTTTAATGTCATTCATAGGTACAGACAAAATCTTACATTCAACACCTAACTGATACAATCTTTTGTCCCCCAAAGTGGAGAATGCAATATCATTAAGAATTAATTCCTCTCTTTCGTTACATATTTCATTTGCTTCTCTTTTGTGATCCATCGTACTCAAACTCTTTAATTTCTCGACCAGTGTCATAATTTCTTGTGGCATGCTATCATATTCGAATTGCAATTTTGGAGAATCATCAGATTCGTTTAAAATGGTCGTTCCAATTTCCCCAGTTGCCATGCCTACAGCTCTCAACAAAATTTGTGGAGATTCCAAATGAGCCGATATTCCAGCAAAAAGTAATCTCTGTACAGTATCTTTTTCATTTCGTTTTAAGTGACCCTTAATCATTTTCATCGATAGGACAATCAGTTTCGTTATGTATTCATGCTGTTGCATCGAAGTGTGATTAAGCGCACTTCTATCTCCCCAAACATCCAATAGTTTTATCAACAGTTCAACTAAAATTCCATCGTTTTTCTGAGAGTAAGATAAGTATGAGATTAAATTGATTATCAAGTTTTCCTCTTCATAGTATGACATAAATGGAATCTTTACTGTCAACACATACTTCCAATTTGCATCGGTTAATAAATTTCCAAAGCAATCGGAGATACCAAATTTTTGATCACATTGTTTCAGAAATAATACCGCAATTGATTCTATGCTTGATCTGTCTAATTGAAGCAGCAATGCATGTACGAAATGTTTGATATTATTTTTATTAGTAATGCACCATTCTGATATTATATCGATTAAGCAAATACAGCTGGTAATATTCGTAATGAGAGCTACTTTACTGATTAAAATGGAAAGAATATTGATATCTGGTTTTGTGGAGGAATATTGAAGTCCTTCGTTTATAAATGCTATTGAACGTGTGATGTGAAAATTCATAATCTTTCCATATGTATTAGGTACAAAAGCATCAGGTATTTTACCCTTTAGCGCATTGGCTATTCTACTGGGCAAAGATAATAAAATTTGCACCGTTTTGCGCCAAGTTTGTTCTAATTCATCTCGTTCAAATTGATTCGTACCTTCTGTTTTACAAGCTTTTACCACCGCAGAATATATTGCATCGCTTTTAATCAGTTCTTCCAAAATCTGTACGATTACGAACTTTTTTCTTTCATTCTGTATTTGTTTAAGTGCGTCAGTTAGAGGGACCAATGTTTCGTGTAATACGAAACATGAGGAACCTTCGACAACGATTAGTTCCTTCAGCAAAGAATCTAAAATTCCGTTATTCAAAGGCCAGTTATGATCAAATTTCTCTATAACTCCTTCCACAATTTGACCGTGGAGTATGCTATCGATTTTTTTATCATAATCCAATCCGATGTATTTCTGTGGTGTAATTGGTCCAGGCAAGAATTTCACGTAATTAGCAATACTGGATCTCAGCGTTTGCAGATTAGTATGGCTTTTAACAGTGTCGATGGCGTGAAGCGTTTCCAAAATTCGATCAGTTGCGGTAATTATGCAATTTTCCACTGTTGCAACGCTTTCTTCGGGTCTTGAAGCTGTAAGGAAAGGCTGACTTGGGGGCATTACTTCTCCAAGTTAAGTGAGATCAGCGTACACATTATTTTATACGCTAAAAACATTCGACTGCCTAATCGAACTATGATTGATTTCAAAATAACAAAAGCAGACATTGTTATCATGCACCTAATGCCGAGATAACGAATCTTATACCGTTGAGTTGAACATTTCTCTTACCCGTATTAAAGTCGATGGGATTCCCAGTGGACGTGGGACTGGCAGTATTGAATATATCCGCATTGTTGACATTGTTTGCTTGCACCATTGGTGAAATCGTGGGTAAAGAATTGAAACCACCCAAATCTGCTAGAAGGTCTGTATTGGAAGTTGCTGTAAGTATAATATTATTCTACGTAGGAAATGTAAAGCAATTCATTTGAGTATAATGTCATAAATAGTTACCTGTATTGTTATTGCTGTTGTTCAGAGTTTCGACTTGATTATTAACTCCCTGCGGTGGCAGGGAATTAAAAAGATTGTTTCCCATTGCCGAATTCTGTGGAAGTATATTTGCGCTTCCGATATTTCCAAAGCCTGGTGCGGCTGTTGACTGAGCACCCACTATTAGCGGATTGGTCAGGTTGCCGGCCATTGGATTGCCAATATTTGGTATTGTTGCACCCATTAACGAAATTTGTGCTTGTGGAGCTTGCAACTGAGTAGCTGGTGGATTGGAAATGGTTACCCCGGCATTAAATGCCGAAGTAAAGTCAGCGAATTCGTCACTATTGTCGTTCGTTTTGGTTGCTGGATTGTTGAATGCACTAGCAAAGTCACCAAAGTCAGCATTGGCATTCTGACTTTGTATTGGCGTATAGTTATTGGCTCTTGGATTGAAGTCATCATCATTATCAGCTTTCCCAGGGGTATTGTTCTCGTTCTGCGAGTCGAAGATATCATTCAATATATCGTTCTTACTCTTCTGCTGCTTTACTGGTGATGACATTAGATTTCCTTGCTTTGTCGGAGAACTATTCTGTAAATCCATAATAAAATGTCTCTATGATTGCATAATTGCACGACTGTATAAAATTTATCATAAAAATAATGCTTTACATTATAATCGAATCCAGCATGGAATACCGTAGTATTATTTCAGATCACTTACATTAGACTGTTCCTTTCCGTAATTAGTTGCAGCTCCCAGATCAACCTTTTTAATGGTTCTAACTGTTCTAGCCGGAGAAGCATTCGCAGAAGGTGTTGACGACTGAGATGTTTTACTAACTCTGTCCATCGTCTCAGCTGTATCTCTATACTCTCGCCCACCTCTTCGTGGGCTGGAATGCGCGTCGTTATCAGAGTCCTCTCTTTCTCCATCATCGCTGCAATGTAATAAATTAGAATAAAATAATTTAATTCACCAATCCAACGAACATTTTTTAATCAGTTTAGAATATAAATGCAAACCTGTTGTTGCCATCTTCGAATCCCCTTCCTCGACTATCTCTGTCCCAATCATTGTAACTGTCTGTACTTGGTTTAGTCCACTTTGGACTGTCCGTCCACCTGTCTCCACCGCCAAATCGCATCCCCATAGCTGCGCTAGACATACCAACATACTTATCCTTGTTCTTTTTCGCTTTCTTTCTCTCATCTCGCAACTTATCATCATCCTGGATGAAATCGATCAATTCCTTGACTTTGTGCCTGATATTTATTCCTTGATCTTTGCCGAATTCATCGATATACGTGTAATTTTCAAGCGATCGCAGATCATAGATGTGTTCACGAGATGACGTTACAACACGCTCCGAACCGTTGCGAACCAAGTAGTTAAGCAGGAGCAGACCCTACAATAAAAATAAAAAGAATCCTTCTACAATGACGATTAATCATTCATTACGATAGCGACACGTAGCTATGCGTAATTTGCGGTACTAAGTTGCAAGATATTGCAAAACTATTGTGGTATACCGTACTGGATTACAAATGACAAACTGTTACGGGAGTTAAGTTCCGTAACAGTCGGTATTTTACGTAGCCACGTTATACCATTCCCGTTCTAGTTGGATTACAATAGCTTTAGGAGCCATTTGTTAATTTAATAATAATAGCCAAGTTATAGAAATTTAATAAGTTCATTACATGTCAAAGCTCATTATCTTTTCCGCATCTTTAATGTTTAATGGATAATTATTGAATTTGAATAATAAAAAAAGTTTTAATACTTTGTACGTGCGACGCCAGTTGCGTTTGTTCTCCTGCAACATTCTTTTCCAAAGCATGGACATCACTTCAGGAAATTGTTCGTATGTGAATGTTGCCTGAGCTAATTCCTGCATCATGGCGCCTGAAAATAACATAATAAAAGATCGCTGGAGCGTATCTATGTGGAGGGCCAAGCAGCGGAATAAGAGAGAAATTTTCACAATCAGAGCAACCTGTACCCGTCAATGCGAAAACAATTTAATGTTTATCATACACTTCAATTAAAATCAACTTGTACTTTCAACGATAATGAATTAACAATATGGATAGATCAAAAACATTACCGTACATAATTTTACCTAAACTTATCAATCACGAGATAAGATATGGAATTAATTTTTAAATCTTACCAGTAGGACCCCAGGCATCATCGTTCGTAGCTTCTCGAACTTTTGCTTCTGTCTCTGTGTAGTTCATAACTACATTGGTCCTATAATGAAAACATTGGATTTCTTACTTCTTCTTTGAAGCGTCAGTTTCAAGTTCAAAGTTCTTTATAAAATATTAATGAAACATATCCACAATTAGACAATGCATTGTGCACAGTCTGGAGTTATAATACTTTTCAGAATTATTTTATCGTCAAGTAAAGTGTGATATTTAGAACATTCCATAACTGTGAATATTATAAAAAGATGGTTTCATCAAATACATATATATAATTCACAAACAGAATATAATTTACAATCACACACTAATGTTTGTACATTTCCTTGAAGTTTGACAAATTTTAGAGCCTTAACTGTCATAATATCCATAAGTTGCAATGAGTTTACCAAATGTACACAGAATGCTATGTCGGATAAAAAATGACTAAGCAAATTACTTATTATCCAGTGTTATATAATGTACCTATATGTTGAATTACTCTATCATATATATTTATATCAATCAACATTAGCGATCTATGTGTCCAATGAATTGATAGCTTTCTACAGTTCACAGATTAGCACAGTGGCACTCGTAAAATGCAAAAATACTGAGCCATTTACAGAATCAGAGCAAGTGTTTTTACACATAATCGATATTTACATTGCAGTTACAATGTGATATTTGTACATAGTAAGCGAGTAGGTCATTAACTACAAAACTTTTAGTCATATGTAAAAAAAATACAACTCATTAGAAAAAATAATAACTAAAGTTACCCTCTGTAGAATAGAATAAGAGAATACCATTAGACTTATTTTTCGTTTGTATTTCCTCATTTAAAAAAAGGTATAATAAGATTAAATAAAGCTCAATAAAAGGATATCTAATACAATAAGATTGTTGTCCTTCAACTTAACATAAAAACAAGTTTTATCTTATCTGTTCTTCGTAGCATTATAAATTTTAATAAGTTTGCTTAACTAAGTCTTCTAATTGTAATATAATCTCTTCTCTCCAATGGCATATATATTCTGTAAGTTTAATTGATTTTCAGTTGTCTGTTCACTTGAAATTGTGCAAGATGATTGAGATATATAAGTAAACAGTTGACCGTGACCTGATCTGAATGAAATAAGCCTTGTCTCTTGGTGATTCAATTGGCCATTTAATTTAATATACTATAATGTAAACTTTATATCAAATAGGTTTTAAATTTGAAATAAGTTTATAGTATATTCGACTTCACAGATTCCAAGGTGAAAAAGATATGCAAAAATATTACAACATGATTAAACTAACTCAACATCATTCTCATATCATATATTATATACTAGTGGTAACTGTTAAATGGATTTAAATACCCTTTGACAATGTTAATTTTATAATTCTTATGACCTTTATTTAATACTTTCAATAATTGAAGGTAATAACATTCTACTACATGAAATAGTATATTCTTCTCAATAAAGATAATGTAATTTCATAAGCTAGATTATGTCCAATGATTCAGATGGAAATAGGAAATGGAAACTTTCCCTTTATAGATTTCAACAGTGCATAGAGTTGTATCATAATTATGTAGCATAATTGTAATAATTGAAATAAACTTATATGTCTATAAAAGTAAAGAACAATGGCTGGATAAATGAATGAGATATTATCGACAAAACCGCCTGCGGGTGAGACAAACTTGAAATGCTCTGTACAATCCCACTGGACTAGTTTTTGCCACTGAATGCATTCTCTTTTCTTTGAACGTACAATTTCACTCATTGACTAGCCGCATGTGTAATTCATTAATATTCAGTTACCAATGGTTCTAGGATGTACAAAAGGTTAAATACACACAAAATGCAAAAGATTTACGAGAAATTAATAAATACAATGAAAAGAATTGTAATGGGCAAAAGCAAGGTTAGGTCACGCGTATTGCTAAAACTCAGTGTAACTTACGCCTTGTCCATCAGTTCCCGCACTTTCCACATGTTCATCATTTCACTATTCACTTATTCACGCACTTTTACGTAGAGAAACACCCGCAAGAATAGCGAGAACTAACCGCCAGATGTTTTTAAGAGCATTTGATAGCTGCAATTGCGGACGAACGTCACCAGATGGTAGCCATCTTTTTCCTTCCACGTTCACCACATCAGAAACGTCAAACTGCCTATGGAAATGATTCCAAACTCCGCCGTTCCTACTTCCAGAAACGTCTTAACTTTAATATATGTAGAACGAATAGCGTTCTCGTTAAATGTTCTTCTCTCGTGAATTTAAAAGTTATTGTACGATATTCTGATAGTTTAAAGAGAGGCAACAAATATTTTATGCAGAGGCGGTACCGCCCACATGTTGATGAACCGTTAAATGTAGTTACACGCTCCAACGGCTCTAACATTGATATTTATAAAGAATCTAATATTGATTAAAGAAATCTATGGTAGCAAAAATGGCAACAAAACTTAGATACACGTAACTAGTAATGTTTTATATTACACGACGAATAATTATAGGTGCAATTGCATTTTAGCTTTTCCATATTGCGTTTAGTATGACAAATGAGCATTCATTGTGCTTAGTCGAACGTGCAATGACTTAAGATTATCAACATCGAATGAACTTTTGTAAAAGCATACTCATTACTCTAAAATAAGCATAAATTGTGTACATAATTCAAATAAAAATTATATGCTATCACCAGCACCCATGGTACTTCCATCATTGTACGATACTTTGTGCTGCAATAACTCCAATGTTGAGTTTATTTCCACTTTTTTTCATAGAAAATGGGGAAAGTGAAACGCTATTACGCAATCCTTGCACCTGTTTTCTTTTGATATCGATACCAGATTTCTTAGTGACAATATTAATCATTCATAGTCTCATCTAATTGAAAATACATAACTTAGGCCAGGGTAATATCATTCGTATCTATGCCCCTAATTTTCACTGAGAAAGTATCATTATGCCTGTAGGACGTTTTTCCTTTCAATATTGGATACTGATTCTATGCTCATAATCATGGTGTGAAAAGTAACCGTCATCTTAATAGGATCGGTAACTGTGTTGTTCATACTAAACTGTATGACGTATTTATAAGCATACTTTATGCGACAATGCTAATAACTGTCTAAATGTCTGTATCCAATATATACGATTTGGTTTTTATGAATGACTAATGGTATTTTCAATTGGCTTGATGTAGCACTTACCTCAAATGAGAAGGACAAAACCGTCTAATCGGGAGAAGAATTAATTGAATTCTTTTTATTGTATCCTTATTGAATTCATTATCATTATATTTTGGCAATTGTGGCACAAATCTATGTTTAAAAGTATAAAAGTATACAAAGTATAAGGAAACTTTTTACAAATATTTGTTCCTTTATTTAGATAGAAAATTAACTCATTTTCGACGAGTTATTAGAAAACGATATTATTAATGGGTATCCCTAATAAAAGGAATGCTGTACACCATGTTCAAATATTTCTTTCCAAACGGTGACCATGATTCCAGCTATTCTGCCCATATAAAACAAATGAACAGAAGAAATTCTTTTAATCTGTATGAGTGTGTTTATAGTCGGGATTAGCCTTAATAATAATAAAAATGGCGGCACTCTAAAAACTGTTGATCGATTTCGGTTTATCAAGTCGCAAAAAAAAATAAACTATTTGAATTTAAATTTGGTATTGGAGGTCTATATAAAATTTCAAATCGACCGGACAGTTAGTTTCAGAGATATGATAATCATCAGTTCGAAGAACATAATTTTGAAAAAAAAACGCGTTCAAAATTTTTCGTGCTGTTTTCAAGTAGTTAATATGAAACTTATAACAATCACTGTTAATCAACCAATTTAAGAGCCATAAATGGCACCCTCTTCCTCCTCAAAGAAGTCTAGTTCAGCAGATCTTTCTTTACTGCAAGTATTCTTGATTTTTTTTTGACGCATCAAACGTTCTTTTGTGGATATGCTTAATTCGCTCCTCGTTTTGTATATCGGCAAATATGTATATTTGTTTGCTGACCAATGGTTATCCCAATTGTTTTAAGATTTTGTAAAATAGAATCGAATCCTTCATCAAAAATGCAGACGGCTAAATACTTAGCAAGTTCAACAATAGCTGCTTCAGAATGCTTCGGAGCAAAGGTCCAAATCAATGAATTCAAAGATTCGTTATCATTTCGTGTATTTGCTTCTAAACATCTTTCTAACAATTCGTCTGATGTGAAATCCTTATAAATAGATTAAATAGCTTTCATAGCAGTGTCATCAAGAGGCGGTTTATCATGAGTAAATTTATCAAGGATTCCAGAAGCTTCCGCTCGACGCCACTTGCACCAGCTTTCACTACCTAGAGGATAGTATATATGCTGCGGATTTTCATCCGTCGAGCTTTTATGGTAAAACGTTGCCCACACTGTATTTTTCATTTCTTGAACAGAGTTCGAAAGTCTCTTAATGGCCAAATCATAGTATTTTTCCAATTCACTCATAATTTCGTTTGTCAACGTTTTCGGAACATTTGCGTCAATATTTTTATTCTTTTCCGTTGCGTTGCGAAGTCTTCTGCCCATTTGCTTTTTCACGTGCAAAACACATTCTTTTTTCTTCACTATGTTTTCGCTCCCGTATGGGCAAATATCGAAAACAGCTTTGAAAGTTTTACAATTGCCGTCTCCTATGTACGATATATATATCACACCATGTTTTTCCATCGATCTGGAAAACATATCATTCCCAGCATCTACTTCCATTTTACCTGCGCTACCCTCTAGATTTATGGAGCATCCGAATTCATGAATTTTCAACCAATCCTGATTCTCATTCGTATCCGCTTTTGCCTTCCATAAATTACATGCTTGACAATAACTTGATTTGATAACTGAGTCCACTACTTTATTGCTGTATTTTCCGATAAGTGCAGTGATACCAAACAACGAACTGAATCCTCTCTTTTTCCACGTTCCATCTCCTGACACAGACAAGTCTAGTAACGAATTTTTGTTTTCAACATTCTTTATTTTTTCTTCTTCAATGGCTTTTTTTTAACACAGATTCGTATACAGCTTGCGCTGCACAATGTAAATTTTCAAGACATTAATAATATACATTAATGGCAAGCCCTTGTCCAATGTCCATTATGCCACAAAAAAAATTCATTCCTTGTCTACCAATTCCTAACAGTCGCATGGCTGTAACAATTCGGCGATTTATTTCAAATGCTTTGTCAACATACGGACACGAATTGATGTAATGTATACCGCAATCGCAGTCCACTGCAATTTTAAAACCTAATCCGCGACTACTGGTTTCACTAAAACGAATTTCATTTTTACACTCCTTGCAAACAACAATTATTGAACTGATTGCCGCGAAAACTGTGTAAAAATTCAATATACAATAACCATGTTCTTTATTGATACGAATTTCGTCTTCTCCCGTTTTTCTCAACTTTTCTGCTGATACACTTGTGAAGATTGTGTCGTTTTCTGCAGAATGTTGATTTCCCCTAAATCTTCTTTTTTTTTGATCGACTTGGATGCGTAGGATTGTTTCTTGAACCCTTTCTATCCATTTTCAACACTACGTTTCAGTCTGTTCCGTTTGGAAGTTGAGCCAAAACTAAATGCTTCAAACGAAATTATCCTATTTCAATTTGATTCAGGTAAGGGCGAGATAGTATAGGCAGCAATATAAAGGGTCAGGCAGGTACACGAATATTCTTAGGGAGGATAAAACTCGGTTTTGAACATTGTTACTGAGAACGTTGAGTGTAGATAGGTACCTATCTACACTCAACGCTGAGAACAATGGAACAGTAGGCCCGGCGTAGAACCGGCGTAGAACAGTAGAACCCTAGGCCGGCGCGTAGCTATAAAGTAAGAGGTTGGAATTAACTGTAAAGTTGGGTCGCGTTGTGCTAGTCCCGACCATGTTTGGCGCGGTATCTTTAAATGCTATAATATGGAACACTGCATAATTTCCTAACTTCGCATAAACATGAACGCGACATATGCACCTGTGTTTCTTCCATTTAAGTTTTCATTTGACCAGTACAACAGACGAAAGTAATGTTCTTATTATTTCTATAAAGAATAGCACAAAGAAGCATATTACTCTAAACCCATATAGCTTCTTCTTTTTCGATGATGTATGAATGGACATAGCCAGCAATTCTAATATTTCTACTTTACAGCTGTTGCCAATAAAAAATAGCCAATAATATGATTCTAGCGACCAGTCAACATCTGCTGTAACATGAACACTAAGGCATGCAATCACACTATCAGTGTGATTGGAAAATGTATCGTCTCTTAAGTGCGTTCCAGACGAGCTATCATAAGTATTGGCTGATGTTATCCTCATTTCATCCGAAAGTAAAACACAGTCTCGATCAATACCATACTTCATCAATGTTGTAAATTTCACTGTAATGCTTCACAGACATATTTTTGAGACTATATTTTAAGAAAATACAAGACAAATTAATTTTCTTAAATATCTAGATTAGAATACTCCTTTTAAGGTCTTGAAATGTAATACTACCATCAGTGTATAAACTGGTATTAACAATAGAATGAATTAGTTATTGTTCGATTGAGAACGTTACGAAATCACTTATTTAATCCTCAACCGTTACAAAAAAGGCCAAAATGATATAATGGATAACGTGCTTCGATTAAGGTGTGATCGTTGAGGGTTAACATTGAGTACATCAAAATGTAGAATGCTTATTTATAAAATATGAGATACATACCAATAACAGCTACACCCGACGATTTATAGTAGTTAGAAATTATTCCATGCAAGAGTAGGAGATAAATGCATTAAAAAGTAAGGGAAGAAGAAAGGTAACGACTTTTATTAACAATATCTTCTCCTGAGCGATTTTGATATTTGGAATATTCCAACAGTCAGTTACAAATTCGGATAAAAATATTCGTTCCTAGAAAAATATCAATGTCCAGCATAAACATTAAAATGAAATTATCAACGTTCGTAACGCATAAGAATAATGATTTAAATCTTAATTTCCTTACAGACGAAGTGACGAATTGGTCACATGGTAGGTCACGTGGTTAAGGGAAAGAGCGGTTCTTAATACGCGCTTGCGCAGTAGCTAGTAAAAGCGTCCATGCGGCAGAGTAGAGACGTGGTAGAAACGTAGCAAACGAAGTGTAATCGTATGGTATCGTGCGTGAATGTAAGTGTGAGTGTCGCGTGCTGATCACAGCCGGGAAAAGCGCGAGTGAACGTGCTGGTCACATGTGACGGTATCGGAAAGAGCATCGAGAATTGCATGTGTTTCAAAGTAAGTAGCCGACATACAGTGTGAAACGAGGGTGGTTGGTGCGTCAGGGCCGTTAGATGTTACGTGAACAAGCGTTATTTATACCGAGGATTCCGGGCTAAATATGTAGGCGGCTCAGAGGCTCGTCTGGCAGGCAGGCAGGCAGGCAAGCAAGCAAGCAAGCAAGCAGTCAGGACGGCAGGCAAGCAGGCAGGCATATATATACTAGCTGGTACATGATAAAACACGTTATGCATCGCATCAGAATAATGTACTGATTCTGAGAATAGCATAAAAACTTCTGGGCCGATAAGAGATATCACTAGTTTCTCTACGATTCCAGATTGATTTCCAGCCGCTACGGGTTAACCCTGGAGGTGTGGCGTGTCGTGTGTCTGTAATGCAATGTATATGCATACATGCGGGGACTGGCGCGTGGCCCCCTAGTTTCAATAGTAAAGCGGCCAAAGTGAATGCCTCTTTAAGATTGTGTGCGGTCGCTCGGCGAGTCTGACTGTGTGCATCGACTTGCGGGTATTTTACCCGCGTGTCTCGACCATTGTTTTTTGAGCAAAAAACGCACGTTATCTAAAATAGTATTACGTAAAGTGATGCATAAAGATTTCTCGACCACGGGGTGAAATATCGACTTACGCGGTTAAACCGTTTTATCGGACTGTTAACGGTACCGTCGTTCTTTGGATGTATCAACGGTCTGGCATTTGCGGAGATTTGCACGGCGGCGTGTTCTTATTGACCTCTTCCACGAACATAGCGATTGCTTTGTTACTCATCAAGTGTTTAGAGTTTTCTTTTTTGGAGAGTTTTTAGGGTATTATTGGTTGTGTTGATTAGGGTTCCTCGACGAAACGTTCGATATACGAAAGGTGATGTATAGCTGCAAAATGAGGTTTTAAACATAACCTCAGTTGTAAGCATGTGGTGGTCATGCACTGTACTGTACGCCGGTCTGTAAAATGTACCGTTATGCATTTTTCTTGGAGCAGATAAAACTTGATTATTACAGGGTACACCCTTAAACATAATGCTTTATAGTTAGACCCTTTCCTATAAACTATTGCACTAAGTCTATTCAGATGAAAGAAGGCTGGTAGTCAAACCTAAGATGTTTGTCCTGTTAAAAAATTATTAATATTGCCTTAATTGATTCACATTGTCTATTTGCTCAGATTATATATAAATTATATTTGCCTTACATTTATTTTTGAAGTTTTTTTCAACTTCAATTTGTGATTTCAGATTATTATAGCAAGTCTGGCGTCGAATATATAACAGTGAGTGTGTCATGGAAGCAGGATTTTTAAATTTCCACGATGAGGAGCACTTTTCGGATTTCTCACTGCCCTTGGACCAGGTAGTTATTATTTAACACACTCTTCAATACTGTACTCTACTATTCCTCTTGTCTAATATGATTATCATTACGATAGAAGAGACTTTTCATTGTAGTATTTCTTTGTAGCACAATTTGCTGGAGGAGTCACAGGGTTCACTAATGGAAATGGTGCATGACGAATATGGATATATTGAAAATCGCATTGATACTTCTGCTGGCCTTTGGGGCACAGAACAAGAGTAAGAACTAATATTATTTTTTGTGTTAATGCAAATACTGATAAATTTCATCTAATAACTAATAAAAACATTTGTGAAAGTGGAAACTCTTAATTGTAACAATTATAAAGATTAATAATTTTCTTTAGGCTTAATGGAGATATAGCTGTGTTACCAGTTTCTGGAGTTGCCTCCGTTATCCCCAAAATGGAGCATACTAAGGAGGACTTTGCTAAGGTCCTTACAGATTGGCAGGAGCACATTGGTTACCTTCAGGTGGTGCAGATTTTTCAATTTTCGTTGTGCAGTCTTCTAATGCGTTTTAGAATACATTTTTATAATATGCAACTATTGTAGGCTTCGGACATGGAAGAGGACATAGATGTGAAGGATATGGTAAGCCTCACCATGAGTACACCTGAGAAGATGAGTACAGATCTTCCAAAGAATATATTCCAAGATGAACCATCAAGTCGTAATAGCCAACGCTCACCATCTGGAAAACGAAGTAAACCAAATGACATCAAACATCCACGTTCGAAAGTCATACGCATGTCTGAATCAGAACAGAGTGACAAAGATATAGGTATGTATATTTCAACAATATATTGTGCACTTCTAGCTTTCTTGATTTACATATATTAACAAAGAATTGTGATAATTTTGCACATTTCATGCCTTTCTTTTTCCATTGAAATATATTTTGCCCTGCTTGAAAGGAATATCTGCTCCATCTTTTCATAATTTTATGTATGTTGTTGAACTAATTTATTTTAATTAAAATTTATCTTCTTCTGTACTTTGGAATAATGCTTTTGGCACGCTCTGCTTAATTCATACTAAAAAAGCAAGAATTTGATTATTACGCTACTAGAATTATTTTCTGCTTTTGCGTGCAAATGATCTGTGTGAATGTATGTGAAAAAATTTCAGTTATTTTAATTTTGAAATTTCCATTTGATGTGGAATCATACTCACGTTTAAAAGTTTAGCAGATTCAACATAACAACAATGAATTTCGCGATATTATTGCATAGTGTTATATTAACGGTATAAACAATTTTCTGGTAAACTGAATATTTTGTTCTAAAATTATAACTATGCCATTTTTAATTCCATGAATTTTATAGGACAATAACATATTTCAGGATCGACTGACTCATAAAAATAATCTATATCGTTTGTGTAGATGTTGTAGGGCTAGACTCGGTCGACGAAATAGACCCTGACATTGACCTGACCAATATCAATTGTGAACGTGCGAATTCCCTGTGTGATGATTTTGATTATGATGATTTAGGTTTGTTACACACACTATTTTCCGCACTGATACACTTCGATTGCATGTGGTAGAAGGTGCTGTTTCGTTTTCTGTCATGATGTATAATATGTCAGTGACAAGAATGAATGCGCTCCAGACACGTACATACTAACCCTTATTTGAACTTGTAACTTATTGCTTTTTAAGGTACCAAAAGAATATCGCTTTTCATCTCGAAATTCTCTTTGGACTGGTTCAGTACAACCACACATATTTTATCAACTATAATTAATCGTTATACAAATATGCGTTCGTTTACACGTTTTCTTTCAATTAAGAAACGTGTACGAAATATCAAGTTGAAATAAAAATTTAGAAACAAAATATATACTGTTAGTTGGCTGATGACCAATCCTTGTTCAGCTTACTACTGCGTCGTACAAGAGTAGCGCAATGAAGAGCCTAATACTATTATTTTAATAGATTTACTTGGCTTAGGTGGTGCGGTGAAAAACGGGACATTCGACCTCGCATCCTACATTGCGGAAGATGACGATAAAGCCGAGAAGACCGTGTCAGCGATCGGACGTGATCCTAATTCCACTTCTGAGAAGCAGCTAAAAAGGAACATCGTCAATGAGGAAACAAAAAAGGACCAACAACTGAAGCTTAAGACAGGTGGTATCACAAGCAAACTGCCTAAGAAACAAAGAAAGGCGGTTAAACACAAATTGGAAACTGAAAGTGAAGACTGCATTGACGTGGAAACAGTGTCCGAACAAGTACCAGGTAGTTTGAAATACATGATAAAAAAAAAATCATGCAGTAATGAGAATATAAAACCAAAATGCAATTTTATAATGTCAGTTTTGGAAGCTGGTGATGTTAAGAGTCTCTTGGAGCAATTCGAAGCCTCTGAAGCTGTCACGAATTTCACACTCTCTAGTAGCAACGGTCGACTTGTAACAGGGAGTGATTTACGACTTTATTCAAATAAGGGTCGCCCGACTCTGGAGAAATTACAGCTGACTCCGATAAAGAAACCAGCAGAGGCGCAAGATTCCACATTACACCAAAATATCAGAGACTCTCTTCCAAAAGAAATTATCGACAGGATAAAGGTGATTGCACTTAGTCTATTTTCAGTCTCTGTTTTTGGTATTATTCTAGAGTTAATCGTGAATCTGATCATCATGCTATGTTGTGCAATAGGCATCAGGGCGTAAAAAAATTATATCAGTGATACCTGCGATACCCAACACAAAAAGTGGAACGCGTAGTAGTGGAACACGAATGCAAGATGCTGCGGCGACACTTTCACGTAACAAACTACTGAAAATAGTAAGCAATATTATAATTTTATCTATAATGACACATAGCTATTGACTACGTCATGGTACCGAACTCCTTATTCTAGAATTTCAAAGCATAACGGACAATTATATTTTACCAGGTGGCCAACAGTCCGAACGCAAGTGGAAGAATCGACGGGTCTGTTCAATTGGATCACGACTACTGCAGTAGCGCTAGTTCAGCTATCAGCAGCTCAGACAGCAACAGTGAGTACGATAGACAGTCAAGTGACAGTGAGAAAACGTCTCCTATCAAGGATGACGGCTCTAGGCAATCAGACTATTATATAATGTATACTAAAAACATGGAGCATGCACGTTCAGTCGGTCGCAAGAATAACACGAGGCGCTGTGGTGGAGAGCGCTGGACAGACAATAGCTCAAAGAAGGACAGTGGTTTGGAATCTGGTGACGTCAGCGATGCCAGCGAAGAGCAGACCATGACTGAGGCTAAAGTTAAAGGAACAGCGATGGACCATGCTAGGGATCAGCTCAAGGAATGTCAACTCAAGCAAACGAATTCCAAGACCGTGAATACCGTAAATTCCGTGAATTCTGTAGTTTCTGTAAATATTTCTAATGCGTCTAACAAGTCAGCAAATAAGCCTACTCCAGTGTATGAAATGAAGATAAGGTCAGCACTCGCCACTAGTATACTCCAGCTAAGAAAAGGTGTTCTCACCAAGACAAAGTCTGTAGACGGTGGAGGTCACAAAGTCAAACAAATGGTTTCCGTCCTGAAGAAACCACCAAATGTATCACAGCCTCTGATTTTGTCAAGTAATCTTAATGAGAGTATTGTGACTACGACTAACAGCTTAAACAACAAAGTTCAGAACATCATACTTCAAGATATTTCGAGTGAAATAACAAGCGAAGACACAAAGAGACCGCCGCGAAAGAAACTTAATTTGGCGGAATACAGAAGCAGACGGGAACAAAATCGTAGTGATAGTAGTAGAACTAGTTCTCCCGTACAACCAATGACTTTGGTGTATATTCATCATGTGTCGACGACGACGGAACCGATAAAGGACGATCCTGAAAATCCAGTTTGGTCTGAGAGAGAGATTGTTTCTATACTAAAACCGAAGTCTGAAGTGGAAGAGGAGAAAGTCAAACCCAAACCACCAACTCGTGAAATAGCAATACAGACTAATGAGACAGTTTTCGACTGTCCATCGAGGACCAGCGAGAACACCGATGAAAATGATGCGCAAAAGAAGTGAGTACCGTTGATGGATTAACCATAATTTGTAATGTCTGCACAAAATTTATATCCTTAAAAAAAAAAGGGAACTGTTTTTCAAGGATTCGGCATCCTATATATATTAAAAAGAAATATTTTTTATTTATTTAAAAGTGCACGTATAAATTTGACGAATGAATCTGATGAATGTGTATAACGCCTTGCAGAGTTAGTCAAATGAAAGACAGGAAACAACGACGGTACAGACAGCACAGAGTTACTTCCAGTTCAAGTCGATCAAGATCAAGAAGCAGAAGTAAAAGTAGAAGCAGAAGCAGAAGCAGAAGCAAAAGTAGGAGCAGATCACGCAGACGCAGCAATAATCGCCGCAGAAGAATAAGTCATCGACGTAGCTCCGTCAGTTCCAGTAGCAGTTGGTCATCGCGTTCTCGATCACACACAAGATCTACTTCCAGTTCGAGGTCGAGGTCATCCCGATCACGTTCTAGGTCTTCCAGGTCAAGATCAAGGTCTTCCTCACGATACTCCAGTTGTTCCAGGTATGTTGGATTAAGCACAACGTTGAGATTTAAAAGAAAAAAATGTTCTCGACGTTACTTAGGTTCTCGTTGAGTCTTCTTGGAGAACCCTAATGTCTCGAAGCTGAACTCACAAACCTGAATATAATTCTTAGTACTCTGAGAAGTCTTAATGCATCCTCGCAAAGCTTCGGAATTCGTGTTTGACCTTCGCGCAAATCGATATAAGATCCAACATAGCAGCAGGATAATGGCAAATGAGAATCATATAGAAATATAAAAGTAAAGTCTCTCTAAGAGTCCGCGAATCGCGTGATTGTAGGTCTTCATCTCGATCGAATTTCGGACGGAGTAAATGGTCAGGTCATCGGAGAGGAGAAAGGCGCGAACGCAGGAGAAGTTATGATAGGCACAGACGCCGCTCCTCTAGGAGCAGTCATGGCTACAGGGACTGGAGGAGGTAAACACCTTGCTTCAAATTAGCGACAACAGAATCTTTAGACTTTCTATGTGAGATCGAGTTTTACGTGTCATAATTAACCTACTATCCAGCATAAAATTTTCATTTTTTCCCCTTTTTATTTCTGCTCACTGGCAATAAGATTGTGAACAAGAAACGCTCAGTTTTTATCCTGTTAACATATGAAAACGCGGCACTTCGGCGAGACGTAGTCCGAATGTATAGTCCGCATTACCCATTGCGTTTGATTTTTAATGAAATTGAAAAGTGGAGACGCAACTATTGATTTGATCTTTTTAAATATCAGATCACCACCAAACTCCTATAGGAGACCTTATGATGGCTGGTACGACAGAGAGAAGCAGAGGCAGGTGGAGGAACGAAGAGTTATTTATGTAGGAAGACTAGACGAGGGTATCACAAAGGCTGAATTGCGGAGGAGATTTGAAGTTTTTGGACCCGTCGTTGATATCAGTGTACATTTTCGTGAACACGGGTAAGCACCTGCGGCTTGTACGAGCATCTTGATGCGTCACGATCACGCTAATCTTATGCTAGAGAATAAAATAGTTAGAGTCACGGGACTTGACTAACTAGAAGATATTCCATATGATACAGGGACAATTACGGTTTCGTAACGTTCGCGTATAAGAATGATGCATATGAAGCTGTTGAACATGGCAACGATGATCCTTCTCAGCCGAGATACGATCTTTGTTTCGGTGGGCGGAGAGCGTTCTGCAAAGTGAAATATGCAGATCTTGGTAAGCAGGATGGTTCAGTCCTTTTATCTAAGTATTTCTTTTTTAATTTTTTAACAATATTTACGTGCGTCCGTTAGATGGAATTGCAAGCAATTCATTGGGGGGTGGCAGCAGAGGTATGCTCAAGGCTGATGAAGACAATACGTTTGACCTCTTGCTGAAGGAAGCGCAGGCTAAACTACGTAAAAGAAAGGTTTGACATACGTACTGCTTATTAGTTGTAAATGTAATTTAAAGACTAGTACAGTTATCGTCGTTGCGATTGCGATGAAACGGGAAACAATACTGTATAGATAGTAACGAACGTAATAATGTCAGTGGTACCACGTCAGAGAGCAATGTAATACAGTTAATGTAAAGTTACACTCGCTGTATTTTTTTGGATTCCTCGGCACATAGCTGACGCAATTAACAAATTATAATTATGTAAAGTAGGATTGAACTTGTAGATATACAAGCGATTAGGTAACCATGCGCCAGCATTAGCGTGCTTGCGCGTATTACAAGGAAAAAATAATAATCAACATCATATGATTCCCACGCGCGCTGTTTTGTGGCATTGATCTTTTGCAAATACTCAGCGTTAATTCTTATTTAAACATTGTTTTTCTTTTTTTTTTTTTATAATTTATCAGCTGTAATCTTTTGATGCAAGTATCTGCATGCATTTGTATCTGATATTTGAAGTATCGGTAACGAGTGTACGGTCCTGATATAAAATTTACTTCCAAACGATATCCTTCTGTTCTATTTTGCTTGGGTGTCAAAAGTTCATATCCGCCCTCTATTCTGAATTATTGACAGTGAAGTACACTACACAAGATCATTTTAGCCTTTCTTTTCTTTAATATATATATGGTTTTTTTTTGTTTATGATCTAACGGTTCTCTATATTATACTGTCGATTGAATAGAGCTGCGAGAAACTTTTTACCTGTTTTGTAAAATGGAACGATTTCTGTAACTTCCTGAACTCTTATTTCTGGCGTCAAACATGCTCAGAAAAATAAGTTACAATTCCTTGTACGTCAGTCATATAAGTCGCATGATTACTTGTTGATTTTAACTCGGGCGAATGTGGCAGAACGTTGAGAATTGTGGGATCACTTCGCCGACGAATGTTTATAATACTGCCATAAATTCGGAGCTGGGGATGCGAAATAGAAATAATGTGTCTGAATTTACAATTCACTTGTCGATTAAAACTACATGTTATCAATGTCCGTTCCTCTGTAACTTGACACGTTGTAATGTCAGGATAACGAATATTATAACGACGCAATTCTATGATTGGTGTAACGAAAAGGTACTGTTACGGATCTGTAAAAGTATTATACCTAAATCTATACTTAACGTATAATGGCACGTGAGTACCACACATAAAGCAAACACAGTGTCAAATCGATATCATACAGAACAATTTAGTTTTCTCGATATGTCCATTTTATATCTGAAAAAGCAAACACGGGAATTGATCCTGCTTGAAGTTCCTTGTTTTGAAAATTATTTTTTAACATTGGTCCGCCTGATTATGTATCCATTGACATGCCGATTCTTTTATTATAATTTTTTAATGTACTCACGACTGGATATCGTGACGATAAAAAATTATTTTATCTTACTTCACTTTCTTTTTTCCCTTGAGTTTCAATATTTCCTGAAACGGGTATACGTAAAGGAATATATTGGAAATTATCTTATTGTATTTGGCGGATTAGGGAATACGATCTGCATGACATTTTCCTAAGCTCGATCGTATAAGTCAACTACATCTAAGAATTTAATTATGCAAATATAATTAAGTATCTTTAAGTAATATGTGTACTCATCTCATATGCTGAAACTCGTGGTGTTGTATAATCGCAACGCCAAGTCCATCATGTTTTATATTACATTATGATCTTATGATAATGTCATTGCATCCATCCTAACTGGTAGACCCATTTAATTAGGAGAATCGGAGAATATGGGAATTTCAGTTTAATTGTTACTAGATACGTTAGAATTGCAGGGGCCATGACCCTTGCAAATCTAAGGTAGCACAGTTATCCAGCTGCTTTTCTATCATTTTGATACGTTCTCTGAAATTGTATGGGTTGTCTTTTGCGTATAATTTTATACAGTAATAACATTAACAATGATAGTGGTAATTGTAGTTATAATTGTAATCGAGGTATCAGTAAAAATATTAATGATACTAATAATATCGATACTGTTAAGAACAAGGACTCGTAACAGCTGTGAACAATTTTGTACGAGAGGTAAATGAGGATCTATCGATCGTGCGAATGAACTTTAAATAATTAAATTTCTCTGACGCCGTACCTATATGGCAGAATTGCTATCGATGACAGTGTCTCCAAGTAAAATCTATGACATAGGTATAAAAGTGTGGGAAAAATTTTATCTTGAAAGTGTATCAGATCAACTATAAGTTTGCAAAATGCACACTTGATCTTGCAGGCACTTCGATAGATCTCTTAGTTATCGCGTTAAACCTTTAACCCACGAGAGAATTATAATTTGCTTCTGAATATTACGTTATAGATATGTGATAAACGAATTACGCTGCTTTTAACTTGTGTTGATTTTACAAATAAAATTTACATCATCCATTAAACACTATTTCGCGAAAGATACATGCGTGGCCAGCCTGTATGGCTATTTGGATGATGTGTAAAAAATAAGTTTTAAAAATCTGAGGACCTGCGTATTGTAACATGGTTTTTTTTTTAATTATTATAATTCACTCCGGGATACACGGATGTATAGCTATCAGTTTAATGCAAAATTTAAAATCATTAATATTTACATCAAAGCTAATTGTCATCTTCGATTTCATAATTCATGATAGTTACATTGATTCGATTGCGTATGATTAAAAATTTTATAGGAAATGTGTTACATTCGGTCAAGGGTCTTGAGTAAGGACTATCATCACGGAGCGCGAACGTTGCGAAATACTCAAATTTGAAAAGTTTTACTTAAATGCAACAGGTGTCCTTTTTCGGAAAGCCTAACAAGCCTAATGAATATTAGGCAAATTAAGGTATAATCTGTTCTGTTTTATATCGACATTTTCCGGTTTTATACAAGAAGTACGTAGCTTATTCAATTTTCCTTATCAAACTGAAGTATCAAAAATTGTAGGGTCGTAGGAAAATGCCATCTGGTAGATTCGAGTAAAAAACTCGTTCCAGTTTAAAAGTATTCTATGACTCTCACCTTCCATGACTGTTTAGTATCTAGGTCTTCGAAACATGCGACACTTGCTATCAGACATTCCTATCACTTATTTGCGTTGTATGATTTGCGTTTTTCGTCTTTATTTTCTATGATTGATGACTCGGTTTGTTGTTTGCAAATCAAATTTATGTCAAGGTAGCGCAATTCCTTTTTATCGAGACTCGTCAAGATTAGTTTCGTTTCATATAGCTTCGGAGTAGTTGCCAGTATATGGATAGTCATTTCGCACTCTTCTTGGAGTGGTCTCACATCTAGAAATTAGCATTACATTACCAAAGGCACAACACAAATAATCGTATCATTATAAGAGCGTTTGATTTTTGTAATGTGAATTACATATAAATATCGAATAGAAGGGTTAAAATAGAACCAGTTACACTTGTCTTGGACTAACCGGGTATAGTAAATGTCGCAGGTACTGTGAGCAAGTTCGGCTTACTGGTTGTAGTAACATTATAGGTAACGCATGTTTTAAATATATGGATAAACTCCATTGCCGCAGAATCAGTATGATCTCCCATCAACCAATGAATCAATCTGAGTCCAATATTCGTATCTTTGGAAATGAAAAGAAGTGTCATAAATATCGTTAATGTTTACAACGTTTTGGTGTAGAAAACGTCAACGACAACGAGGTTCGCCACTGTACCTAAGTGGCGGGCCCAAAAAGCACGTTCTTTTGGATTAAGAGTCTTCTGAAACATTTGACTGATGCAATTCCAAAGGTGACCATTTCTAGAAGGAATTTTGATTGTGATATTCAATGGACAAGTGTCGGTAACGTTTGATGGTGGATCAATGCATACGCATTTCTCTTTGTCCCATTGAATAATAATTTTCTCTGATATTGTTGGAGTTGAACGTGAGTTTATCTGAAGTAGCAATTTAATGATCATCAGGTACGGATGTTCCAGAGATTCGAGAAAATCTATATGAATTATACTTGAATTATGAAGTCACCCATCCTAGATTGAAATATCAACCAAAACTTTCGAGGTGATGGTTCGATGCAGGCTATAGTCACTGATAAGTTGGCACTCTCTTCGTTTTCCGCTATGGACAGAGTATTTTGATTGACGAACAAACGCCTTGGTACTTTCCTCAAACGCAAGTCGGCCCACCTTGCCATCCTTAGTGCAGCTGGACAGTGGAAATTGGAGTTAGGAATTCGTAGAATATCGTGCAATTACAAGTAAACGATTGAAATTAGTACCAGGATTAGTCGGCGGGTCTTCTGTCAACCATATGTCATATTCAGCAGTGTACTTGTAGGGTACTCGAATTTTCAAATCTTTGTCAACCACTCGATACAGTCTGTTAGTAATGTTGTACGTATTTACAATTCCAAGGTGATTAGCACTGCCTTCTAGTACAAATAGCTGATTTATGGCAAAGTGGGACGCAATCGCTGAACCGCATAGTAATAAGTAAGCTGTAAATGAAATTGTAACGTGTCCAACTGAAAAAGCGTATAGTTGACTACAGAGATACTTTAAGGGACGTTTCTTCATGCCTTTGGTCTTCTGCATTTTTCTCGCGTAAAACTTGAGCATTAAGACATTACTGTCACGGGGATTAATATGGAATATGGAATGCGGTTGAACAGCAGAGAAGAATGCGGATTCATTGTTAATAAATTGTACGATGTAATTAACTCCGTTGTCCCATATGTTACTGAAGTTTATTCGCCGTGTGATTGTCTCAGTTAACGGGCAGCTAAATTTTATCTACACAAAGATTCGATCAAGTGCTCATTTATATTCCTGAGATGTATTAACGTAGCAGCATAATTTTTGTAATTTCGAATACCTTTGTTCTAGTTGTGTAAGTTGGCAATATCTGAAAGAGATGTACCACCAACATTAACATCTGAACGCAGTTCGGCTTTGTGATCTGGGACGGGTCGATCATAAAACCGAGACGAATTTTTCTCCAGGCTGCGACGATACATATGGCATTATGAAACCTCTGAAAAGAAGATGGACGCTCCCATGTATTAATGACTTAATGATGCCACGCCGAGGACGTTCTATACTGAAATTGCAAAGTAGCCATACTTCTTCGACGTTTCGTGGGGAGATATAAATGTTACGAAAGTATTCGTCAATCAGAAATGGACAGTATGCCGCAGTGACAGCGATAAAGACTAATCCATCGGAAAGGACATCATCGAAGTCAAGTATAGCTCGTTGTTGTAGAACGTCCTTTGTCTCGTTAGAATTTAAGATAACACGATCGTCGATCATCCAATCCTGCTTGCGTTGTATTTCGAAGTGATAATCCAACCAAGCTAGAAGAAGTGCTTCTTGCTTGCAATGTACAATATTTTTAGCTGCTATATTAATTATACTCGTGAAGTTTAACTTCTGTGGCAAATTCGCCAAGCTGAAACGAGTCAGGAGAGTAAGTTAGAGTTAACCGAACGATTGTCATTGCGTTTTATTCCAATACCTCAGGCTAGATCCCCCGGTTAGATCTGATACTCGCATAGACATTCGACTATATACGTTGTTCTCTAAACTTTCAATGTTTACTCTACTGAGAACCAATGTCTTGTATGTTTGTAAAATTACGTCGAGCCAGCATTGCTTGCTTCTTGAGTCAAATAGTTCTCTGTCCAATTGAATGTTAATGAGCCTATCTTTTTTACTGGAACTATTTCTCATTTGCGACGCTTTAATGTAGTCGGTGTAGCTTAGAAGAAATTCTGGGTACACGTGTGCCAGACATGCTCCTTGGGCCATCAGGAAATGCAAGATGTTGTTATAGAGACTTAGCACGTGATTGATTCTTTCCTCGTCATTTTCGGGCAAGGTTACTCTATCGACAGGCTAGTAAGAATTTCATGCAATCGCACAATAGGCACAGGTATACTCACGGTTCCTGGATATATTTGAAAGTATTGTTTCCAATCAGAGACTCGAGAACGTCGATAAAGGATTGATTAACGGCGTGACTTTTTCTCTTATCTTTGATCGGTGTTCTTATCAAACATAGTCCCGAAAGTACTGCAGTGATACCGTCGACCACATTTGGATAGAAGTTAAACCTCAAAGGGCACGAGTAAAGCCACTCTTCAGCAGTTTTCATCGCTGTCTGCATGTGCTGCGCATAGTCGCTGCAACGAAGTCGAACTTTTTGTAGATATTTGAGAATATTTATTGGACCTTCTGTGGTCGCAAAGCGGACTAACGAGCTTCTGTCGGCGTTGGGAAAGAACGGATAAGACAGCTTTGATTGGTCGCGCATTCTGGTATTGTTTTGAAGATTGCTCGAGTCTTTGGCATCTATATAAACATTGTCGGCTTCCTCTTGTTTGCTATCCTCATCTTCCGCTTCGTTCACTGGCGTGGCTTTTAACTTTGTAGAGGATGAAGTCACTTTGAATGTGGTCTTGCTGTATTGACTTATATTCGAGTGAGCGCTGTGCCTTGGCAATGATTCATTTGTCTGTGAATAATAGTAACTTTTATTTCTTATTTCGATTAAACTTCTCTTAAGTTTCACTTTTAACGACGGAGACATACGTATTTACGAACTGTTCCTGGCTGTTGAATCATATGGATGGACTCCTCGTCATCCGATTGTATTGATATGTATGAAATCTCAGGCTGGGGTCCAATTTTAATACTTTCAATCGAAGATCGAAAGGATGCATGCGTTGTTAATAAGTTGTTATCCGCTGTAGCGAATATCATTATGGAATAATAAGATAGATTCTTGTCATCATGAAATTCTATCCTCGTACACAATGAAACGGGTTCTTCGCTTTTAAACGTTATAATGGTTTCTATGTTCTCGGATCTGATTACAGCCAAACGTTTTTTTTTTTTTTTTTTTTTTT